ACAAGTTACAGAGTTACGAAGCGAATTGAGTTCCTTGAGGCAGTCCACCATTGTCATTGACCATGTTGACCAACAGAAACAGAAAGGTGACGAGAGGTCAAGGAGACTGCAGGTACATGTAGTACTACTATTAGGAATAGGAGTACCCGCACTAGTACTGGAAAGTTAAAGCCGCATGGAAGTGGTGAGTGCTAAAAATGGGGCAAAGCAGCAGGAAAACACGTGGGAACGCGCACTGAACCACGTAGCGCTGCCACACCCAGGGTATCCTCTGGCACGCAACCAAGACAGTGTACACGGAAACGGAGTACTCTGACGCACGGGATGCTACACTCCAGCCTGTCAAGCACTCCAAGTCGGCTTTCAGCACCAGACCACAGACGACTCTTGGAAGTTGGTCTCCGCAGGACCACCAAAGACCAAGCGCTCTGTTGTCTACGCAGGCAACATCACCCCTGACTGCACCAGCAGTGCCGATACAGATATCTCGAGTCGGACTCCAGGGAGGAAAGCTGGCGCCCACCGGTTAAGTGAGATTCACCCCCTGCAGACCAGGAAGCTAAGTACTCTGTCACAGATGGCAATGTGTTGCACCCCTAAGCTAGTAATGACTAACAACACCCTTTTAAACTCTTGCTAACAAATGCCTTTGGGCTGATGAGTAAGATAGATGAATTCCCATATCAGCAGGGTGGAAACTGACGTAACGAGATGGGGAGTAGTCCATGAGGACATGGCAGCATCCGAATACGCAAGAGGTAGGCACAAGAATATGCGGCTTAGACAGAGAAGAAACAGTTCGAAGCTAGAATCAATGTCCGTGTTTCTTAGAATCAATCATGGAGAAAGCTAACTAAGAGTAACTATCTCAGCCACGGAAGACCGTGCCTTTCTCATAAATAGCTCATAGGTGCATGATGAAGCATCCACCACGGACGCCAGTAGCTGTGATGGCCGAGAGGCTAAGGCGTTGGACTGCGGCCTTCATTCCACTCATAGTTTTAAAAGTAATCAGAGGTTTTTATTGATCCGCCAACATGCTGGTTGGGTGCCGCACCTGCCCGCTTTCTAACAGGTCCACATGCAGAACATCCTGATGGCCCTGAGGAAATAAAGTACCCATATGTAGCTCGTGATTGCTCACTGGCTGATCATGTTGGCATGAAAAGACTCTCCTGCTTGGATAAAGTGGGTACATCATAGCTGAAGTGTCGCCACAACCACTTCTTCCAAGTTGTGGGCCAGATGGCACTAACCAAGAAGTCATGGTGCAACTTTGGGCCAGATGGTGCTAACCAAAAGGTCATGGTGTGATTTCGTTGTCAGGACAACACATAATCTTTTCATTGAGCGGACCGTTTTTAATCCTGATGCGTGGGCACGGCATCGTGAGACACCTACCAAGTTCTATTTCCGATAAGCACGCTATCCATCAATGTACACAAAGCCATTGGTGTTGTGGGAAACACGAAGTCACAAAAAACGTGATTCGTTCGAACTTCAGCGAGGGTTTCACTTGCACCGGCAGCGTTGAGCTCTCCTTACTATAGGTACAAATGGAAATTTTATTTTTCATTGCTATCAGGTTCGGCCTCACTTTCTCTGTGCTGCGCTGATGAGTCCACAAAGGACGGAACAGTTCTGTTCGCAGATTGAGTAGGTACTAATGGAATAAATTAAAACATTAATTTTGGCATTGCACCACTGCACAGCAGATCGTTACATGCAACCAACCGTAACCATAGTGTGCGGGTTGCAGGTTTTCAAGCTCTCCTGCCAAAAAATCTGGCACTTTCTCATTTATAGATCTGCCCGACCATGCCTACCTCATCGAGTACTGTTGCCACGGGCACACGGTCAAACTCCAGTAGAAATAAAGGCAGTAGTAGTAGTCCTGGTTTTGAGCATAGAGACGCGTCCCCTCGCCTACTTTTACGGTAGTGCCGACATGGAGGACTAGTGATTCCTAAAAGAAGCAACTGAGCTACAGTACAACCTGTGACTAACGACCACCCCTTGGGGCCAGAGAAAGCGGTCTTTAGTGGCAGGTGGTCCTTAGTTACAGGTTTGCACCGCACAACCCTGCGAATGTGAGACCGTCCGTGCCTGGCGAAGTGGTCTGTAGTGCCAGGCTGGTCGCTAGTCACGGTGATCTTTAGTTACAGGTTGTACTGTATTTCAAAGGATCAGTCAGGGAAGTGAACTGCCTGAAAAGAGAGAAAAAAATGCCAGACCCATCAGGACTCGAACATGGGACCTTACTTGTCATGAGCAATGCGCTAACCATCTGAGCTATGGGACCCAGCTCAACATAGAAGGGTCTGGCATTTTTTTTCCTCTTTTCAGGCAGTTCACTTCCCCGACGGATCCTTTGAATTTGAAGTTCTCCCAATCCTTTCAAAACTGAGCGTTTTCAAATAATGGTACCGTAAAGTACCGTTGATCCGCCCCCTTTGTAATTGCCGCCCCCTGTCCATTTTCTACCTGTGAAGCGACTTCG